CAGAGAATACAATGGCCATCTCTTTCCTACTACCTTATTTTGTCACTCTTCTTCTCTTTTCAGCCATTACCTTCACAAACGCAGGTTCGCTTCTATACATATGTATTTGCGTCTCTGTATCCTCATGTCTTCCACGGTCTTATTATTTTGCGTCTTTTTTATTTGTTTTTAAACAGATTCTGGAATGATCGGAATCAATTACGGCCGGATAGCTAACAACCTCCCGTCGCCGGAGAAGGTAGTGAATCTCCTGAAATCCCAAGGAATCAACGGTATCAAAATCTACGACACCGATAATAATGTACTAACTGCTCTCGCCAATTCTGGAATCAAAGTGATCGTCACTCTCCCCAACGAGCTTCTCTCCTCCGCCGCTTCCGACCAATCATTCGCCGACAACTGGATTCAATCCAACATAACCAAATACTTCCCGGCTACACAGATCGAAGCTATCGCCGTCGGCAACGAAGTCTTCGTCGATCCGATGAACACGACGACGTATCTCGTCTCTGCAATGAAGAACATTCATAGCTCTCTGGTAAAGTACAACGTCGACAAATCGATCAAGATCTCTTCTCCGATTGCTCTAAGCGCGCTTGCTAACTCGTACCCGCCTTCTTCCGGTTCGTTTAAACCGGATTTGATCGAACCGGTTATTAAACCAATGCTTGATCTGCTACGCCAAACGTCGTCGTATCTCATGGTAAATGCTTACCCGTTCTTCGCGTACGCAGCAAACGCCGACGAAATCTCCTTGGACTACGCTCTCTTCAGAGAAAACGCCGGGAATGTTGATTCCGGTAACGGATTGAGATACAACAGTCTCTTCGACGCTCAAATCGACGCCGTTTTCTCCGCCATGTCCGCCGTTGGATTTGACGGCGTTAAGGTGATGGTGACGGAGACTGGCTGGCCTTCCGCCGGAGACGAGAACGAGGTTGGTGCTAGCCAATCCAACGCCGCGGCGTATAACGGCGGACTCGTGAAGAGGGTTTTGACGGGTAACGGAACGCCGTTAAAACCGGGGGACCCACTCAACGTCTATTTATTCGCTTTGTTTAACGAAAACCAGAAACCGGGGCCCACCTCCGAGAGAAACTACGGGCTGTTTTATCCGAACGAGGGGAAAGTGTACGACGTTCCGTTCGTCACCGGAGAGGCGAGGACAACGCCGATAAACGGTAACAGAGCTCAGGTTCCGGTGGCTCACGAGGGACAGACGTGGTGCGTGTCGAACGAGAAAGCGGCGAAGGAGAAGCTGCAGGCAGCTCTTGATTACGCTTGCGGAGAAGGAGGAGCTGATTGCCGTCCGATTCAACCAGGTGCCACGTGTTACAATCCTGAGTCGTTAGAAGCACACGCTTCCTACGCATTTAACAGTTACTACCAGAAAAACGCACGTCGTCTTGGCACGTGTTACTTTGGTGGGGCCGCGCACGTGGTCACGCAACCTCCTCGTACGTAATTTATCCCTTCCTCTGTATATTTGTTTTTATTTTCTCTGGGGAAGAACGGAAGATAGTCTCACGTCGTATCTGCTGGTTTCTAAAGATTTTTAGATATGGTGACGTTTTAATGTTTAACTAGATAGTTACGTTATACGCGGAACAATATGATACGTTAATAAAATTAATATAATTTTAGTTTAAAATATCATTTATAGTTATTAAAAAAATTATTATATGAAATCTAAAATTCGTTTATATTTATATGTATATATATAAATTTTGCAATTATTTACTATAGAAATGTATCCCACCCATAAAATAATTGAATACAATAATTTTTTTGTTTTTAATCAATATATATCACTTATTAATAAAATATATTTATTTAATATCATAATCTTAAAAAAAAATACGGTTTATGATTTAAATATACAAAATAAAAGATTACAAATATGAATTAAATTTTATAGGTTTAAAGAAATTATAAGAATAAGTGAATATTTATAGTAAATTTTCTTTTATTTTTGTTTTAAAAAAACAAATAAAATTTTTTTTTTTTAATAATGTTTGGTTGGAAAGATTGTGCGATTGTGTAGTGTTTGAATAATATGATAGTAGAGAATTAATAGGATTGAGGAGTGTTTGGGTAGTAGTATAGTAGAG